TGGGACTGGTATTCAGAACTTTGTGTCAAAGCCCTGAAGGGCTTGGAAAACAAAAAAATTCAGCAGTGAAGTGGATGATTTTTTTTCCACACCGAACTGTCATCTTTATCATCCATGGATAGACAAGAAAAAGGAAATCAGAAGAGGCTCATGCATTTTAAAGCATGCCTTGTGAAGTTGGTCTTGCTGACCCCAAAAGCTGTAGCTTAATAATTCCAGCTAAAGTCACATTAACTCTCAGTGTGATGCTCTAAGTTTCGCAGGCTGATTTCTGCCTTCTGCTGGTTTCGTGTTTGTGCTGAGCACAGCGCAGCGTCCTGACCTGGCATTGCCTGACCCTCCTCCAGACAGGGTAATTGTGTCAGGCTGACTCTGAGCTTCAGGGCTTGTGAACTTTGGGATTCCTTCATGCTAACACAGCTGTGCTACACTGGGGGCCTGAGCTGGTATTTTTGCAAGATGTGTAGCTTACACTGACTGTAGCTGTTCAGCTCAATGCAGCCTCAGCTCCTCTGTCTGAAGCCTTCCAGCATGACTGAGAGCACCTCAGGAGCATGCCTCTCCCTCTGGGCCAAAGAAGGAGCCTTGGTTCCTAACTTCAGGTAACCAGATAGAGCTCAAACACAATGCAGAACTTCAGGAGGCCTTCGGGAGCCTTTGCAATACAGGAGAAAGCAGAAGGCACTCAGGGGCTCCTGAAGCACTGGGAAGGATCAAAACAAAACAAAGCAAAACAAAACACGAAACGAAACAAAACAAAACAAAACAAACTTTTTCAGCACAGAAGTTAAATTCTATACCCTTAAAACCTGTACCAACTTTTAGCAAAGCTTTCTGCATGCTTTAGATTAGCCATGTAATTACACCACAAACCCCCACAAGGATTTAATTTCAATTGAAAGCAGTAGAACTAATAGTGTGCTTACAAATAAAACTAATTAAGATTTCATAGAAGTAGGGACTATTTCATACAAATACCAAGAGATTTAATGTCAGTATATAGCACTTTCCATGACTCATGGAGTCTATAAATATGTACAGGTATTTTCAGCTTGATCATTATATGTCTGGCCTAGCTCAGAAAGAAATGCTTAGGAAATGTGTAGCATAGTAGGAAACAACTCTTACAAACAGAAAATAATTGAGTAAATATCTAACTGGAACAAAATCCTATAGCTGATGTACAACACAGGAAATTCCATTTCAACATGTTTCTTGATGCTTAATCCTGCCAGGTGGAATGGATCAACAAAAAGGGAGAAGTCACAGTACATGGTGAAAAAATGTTGCACATTTGTGGAGGTCATCCAACGGGACCTAAGAAAAATCCACAAAGCAGCTACAATTCTCATTGCTCAAGTTCAGCTTGGTTCAAGCTCAATGTCTATATATCTTACTACAATTATTTACTTTTCAATTTATCAGTATCTTGCAAAAAAATTAACTGAAACTCCTTTTCAAGTTATTTCCCAATTTTTTTTTCAATGGATAAATATTGTTTCAATTAAAATAGAGTAGTAGTGGAATAACAGGGGTAGGAAGTTGTGGTAGGAAAAAAGACACTTTCTACAATTAGCTCCCAGAAGCTTCTTCAGACTGTCTCTAGTATGATTCAATATTAGAGGAGTGCCTTATTAATTTCAGCAGCATCAATAAGCACTGAATCATCTGTTCATATGACAGTAGGAAAAATTGAAAATGTCAGCACAATGTTATGACATGACACACTATACTATAACTGATCAAAGCACTCAAATTCAGAGGAAAATAAATTAAGAGGAGACTGTTGAACATGGCAGCTGAGATGAAAAATGGAGATCTCCATAATAGGTCACTGCTAATCAGATTCAAAATGTTGAAAGAAAAGAGAGTGGATATTTCACATGAAACCTGAAGGTATTATTGATGAGATTTTTGTTTAATTAAATTCAAAAGAGAAATGAGAGAGGAAAAACTTTTCAGAGTAAGCATGGTTAAGAGCTGCCTTTCAGGAACAGGGTGTTGGTTTCTTAAGTGCACTTCTAAGATTAAATTTAACAGACATACTAGCTCAATCAGTTTTGTCTTTGGGTTCCTTACACCTCTTCTTTCAGCCATTAGATATATATGAAATAACATGAGAGCAAAGTACTAGGATTGTAAAAAGAAATAGATAGATACAGTAGTGCCTATATCCATGTGGTTACATAATGGTTACAATAAAGTATGAGGAGTAGCACCTAAGATGACGCAAGACACTTTGCAGTGTTCAAAATCAGCTGAATTGAGAACAGGAGCTCAACACACACCAGGACTCTCTGTCTCAGCGTCAGCTTAAGGACTGGCTTTGCAAGCTGCAAGTGTGTGTTGGACCAGAGACTCCCCAGGAGACCTTCAGAAAGCAGACAATTCTGGGAGTAAGTGGTGGGATCTGTGCCAGAGGCATTCTCCAGCCTCTTGCCCTGGGCCAGGAGTGCTGCTCTCCCTCCCCACAGGGCTGGGGCTGCCTGCTTTCTCACAAAGTCCTGTGAACTATGAGTGATGTGTTGAAACCACCCTTTTCACTCTAGGCTGAGTGATGTTTTCTCTATACAGTCAGATTCAGAAAGACCAGAAAATGAATGCTGCTAGTAAATGAATATTAGCAAAGAGAAACGTCAAAAATGACTGGACAGTGAAAGATTAAAGTCTTTGTTAGGATTCATTATACATGTAGGCGAATGGCACATGTTTCACAAGTGCCTGTAATTGATTGTCTTCCTTTGTGCAAATGTATTTTCCAGTTTCACTCTCTCCTGAGCTGAGTGTGAGGTTCAGAGGGGAAGAGAGAGGGGGAGAGCCGCTTCTGCTTCAGCCCAGGACCTGGGGATCCTTAACAAACAGTCACCAGGGCATTGCAGGGTCTGCAAGGGTGCCTGCTTGGTTTTTCCACAGAAGAGAACTTGAAATGTTTTGGGTAGTGATAAGTCTTGGTCAAGGAGCAAGCAGAAACTCAATGATACAGCAATTCATATAGATTACAACAAACTACACATTCCACTCCATAATTTTCAGAAAAAAGTGGAGCTATCCTAATTTTTAATGCAAACTGGCGACTTGCAATTCCCATTAGAGCCAATAGATTCTCCACTCTTTCTGGTAATCCTAAAATCTCTTGCCTAAGCAGCATTAATCATGCTAGATCTTAGCCATCAATCATCAATCGGCTTTTATGAATGATTATTAAACAGAATAGAACAGAATGTCTTAAAGTTGCTGTTACAGACTGTGGGCTAAAAACATCCACTCTCCCCATCTCCTCTTTGACTACAGTGGAGTAATATTCCTGAATAACACAAGGTGGGATATGATTTGCTAACAGTACCTGTCCATATGTTATATTGAGCACCTGTTAGTATTTAAATATCTCATTTCAAAGTATCCAAAACTTTGTACAAGTCAGATCTTAGGCATATTTCACAGACATGGAGAACTGAATAGCAGTAAGTGCTATTAACCCCCAAAACACTGGTAAATACAATGACATACTAAATGTTAAAAATTGCTTATCTCATTCCAGAATCTGCTCATATGCCAGCCTGCATGTGGGTTCCTAATTTTTTTCAACTCCTGTACCTTCAGAAGGTGTACAAAGAAGGCCCTTACATAATGAAGTGATTTTTATAGCAAGCTAAAACCATGCTGAAGAGATTAAATGTTGAAAGCTATTTTTAGCCAAACTAATGGTATCAATTTCACTAATAACATAAGCTGCAGGTGTCTCCTAAAGTAAGAAGTAAGACGGTGGAAAACCTAACACGACAAGAGGCTACTGACTACAGAAAAGTAGCAGTTCCAAATTACATTAAATCAGGCAATTCTGCCCAACACTCCCCCTGGTGGTTTTGCTCACAGAGATGAACGTGAAGTCGCATACAAGCAAAATCCTCCAGCCTAATGACTAAACGTCCCGTTAATAGGATTAAGTACCTTCTCATCAGATAAGTAGAACATGGCAAAATCCCTGACAATCCCTGAAATAAGTTCAGAACACAGCCCAGCCCCTTCCTGACGCAGGGAGCAGAAGAGGTGCAAAATATTAATGGTAAATATACTTGGGTTTTTTACTTTTCTTTGGTTGTGTGTTTGTATTTCTTTGCAGTTAATTGGTCTTTCGCTGTAAACATAAAGGCACAATATGCAAGTAAACTGTAGAAGTAAATCCAGGCTATAAATAACTCCAGGCTTTTAATTTACATATGCTCTTGTGGCTGATAATTGCATCTCCAAAAAGGCTATATTGGCTAACTACAAAGCATCTGGATACTGTGCTCACTTAATCAGATGAGAACCATAAAGTGCAGTTGCATAGTTTCTGGAAAATAAACCTTTTGCCTCTGCTCTTAGGAGGGAAATAAAGCAAATGGCATTTCTTTCTCTTATTTTATAGCAATTTCTTTCATTTGCTGATCTGTTTGTTTACAAAATTGATCTAATTGCTGATTTTTTGGCACACCTATTGTTAGTCTCTTACATTAAGTCATATTCTGAAGGACACTGAAAGGAATTGCATGTTTACAAGAAAGGGAACAACATTCCAGAAACTTCCCTCTTTAAAACTGGCAATAGTGTTTAGCATGAAAGTATTTATAATATGAAATAAGGACACAATATGAGATCAGCAATTAGTGCATTTCACAAAGTAGGAAAGGGACAGACTGGACACCATAAGCTTTTGATTTTATATATACATGTCCTAATTCTGTTAACCACTGTGCAAACTCAGTGGAACTCATCTAATTAATCTAAATAGGTAATTACAAATGAGGTCAAGCTTCTTACTCACATATTTTCACCAAGAGGAGCACCTAGGTACATGCTATACATATCAGAAACCATAGTTAGAGACAAAATTAACGGGATCTTGCAAAATACTTGGTATTATAGTCAGTATTTATATTTACTTAGCATACCTAGACATCTGAGCTTCCTGACAATATTTGCACGTAACTGCACTGAACTTTTTCTTGAACAGAAAGAACATGAGGTCCTCCTGGATATTTATAATACATGTGCTGTGTCTGAGTGGCCACCAGTGTGCACCGACGAAGCAGGAGGAGATGAATCTCCGGGACAACCTCAAGCGTACGTATGCTTTTCCTGCCGGGATGTGCTGGAATCCCCCAGGCCCCGGTCTCCAGCCGGGTAGGGCATCTTGACTTCCACACTCACTGGCATCAACAAGTTCCACTTGCATGTGTGGAGCTTAGAAACCATAATAAAGTTGACTGCATGCCTACACACACACAACAGGAAGATAAGAACAAGCAGGATGAGAAAGTAAAGGGATTAACAGATAAGCATCACCTGCCAAAAGAAAAAAGTATTTACAGGATTTTTATAGGTTATTTGGTTTCTTGAAGATCATCAGAATTGAAACCAAACCCAAAATTCAGTTCAACAGATTTTGAACTATTTTGTTTGTTCAAATAATCTTTGAAAATATTTCCTCTACACTTATATACTTCACCGAAAAAGGTGGCTTTTACAAACAACTGAAAATTACTTAATTTAGAAAATAGCAGCAATTGTGCGCGCGCACACACACACACACACACATCTCAAAGCATGGCTTTATTTTGGGGAGAGAAAGAGGATCAGGCATTAAAAAATCCTGTGCTTCAGTCTATGTTGACAAGATTTCTGTAATAAACAAACAAAAAGTTAGGGGTGAGGAAGAAAGATATAAACGAAGAAGTGATCAATGTGTTTTTGGCAGTCTCAAGGTAGAGATGGTTTTACTAATTTTCTATAGTTGCAGTGATAGTCAGGGTATTTCCACAAAGAAAACAAATAAACAGATAAAGGGCAGGCAATCATGCAGAACTTGAAGGTGCAATGCATGGGCCAGCCCAGGTTTTCACCAAAACTCTATGGTCATTACTTCACAGGAAGTCTAGAAATTGTATTTTTATGAAAACAGCTTGCATGCACTTGTATTCTACATTTTCAAAATGTACAGGGAACCTGTCACACTTCTACCAGATCAAGGACAAATAGAAAGGTTATGTCATTAGAAAACTGATGAGTGATCCTTGGGGATATTAAAAACCCAGAGTGATGTCCTGTGCAACCTGATGTAGCTGATCCTGCTTTGGAAGGGGCGGAGGGGGGCAGACTCAATGATCTCCAAAGGTACCAGCCTCAATTGTTCTGGGATTCAGTATTCAGAAGTGGGACAGATGAATATATCTTTTGAGTTACATACAACTGATCCTTGCAAAAGCTGTGGGCTAGATGCTTATCTGATGGAAATTGTCTTGGCTCAGTGTCATTCAGCGTTCACTATCTCAGATTTGGCTCTGCCACTGTAGGGAAACAGAGATATTTCATTCTCCATCATCAGTGCATGACAATTTGCAATAGTGTTAAAATCTGATTAAGTCACTGTATAATTTGGCTTTTTTTAGAATTATCTGAAGTTGGAGAGAAGTATGTGGATGAAGAGGTAAAGAAAGCTTTGATTGGTATTAAGCAGATGAAAATTATGATGGAAAGAAATGAAGATAAGCACATAGATCTGATGAAAACCTTGAAGAAGAGCAGTGAAGAAAAACAGGTAACATAAATGCATTTGTGGGGGTTTTATGTTTATTCTGGGAAGAAGGTAAACCAAATTGCATGTACAAAACAAGCAGTGTACATCTTTTCATGCGGTCACAGGTTTGAGACAAAATCTGCTTCTGCCCCTTTGTCTCACTAGCAGAGGAAAATTGCAATACTGCTTGTTTCTAAAAACCTCATTGAACTCATACCAAGACAACTGCAGGCCACTGTAGAACAGTGTTTTATGCAGAAGGTCCAGCAGCTCTGCCCTCCATATTTCTATACTCCTGGGGCCACAAGATGTTCTCCAGCTTGCTCTGCAAACTTCAGACCTGCAGAAGAGTATCAAAGCCACAAATGATAATGTGCTCTAAAGAAAGTACAGTGAATCAGGGAAATTTCCAATGTCTTAGTGCAATGCCTAGGCTCAGAGCCATGTGCTCAGATGATCTGAAGAAACTCTATATTTAAAAAAACACAAATATCCTAACTTAATTTCAACAAAGTTGAAGGAAAATTCTCTCCTGGCCCAACATCTGGTAGTTAGTTTAAACTAAAATAGTACCTGATAGCTTTCTAAAATCTTAAGGAACACCAGTGCACTCCCACAGTCAACACTCTTGTTAGATCTTACTGCATGATTTAATTTACACAGGACTTACATCCACAGTGAGAGTTCATAAAACACTGAATAAATGTATTAGAAAGATCAGAAAATAACTGAACATAGATTATGAAAACTGCAGTAATTTTCTCCATCAAGCACATTCTGAAGCAAGTTTTCTTTTATGTGAGTCTCTTCCCTATTGGAATGCTGACAAAAAGGAATAAGCCCCATCAATTAAAAGGTTTCTGTCATACTTAGAGAGAACTTGGAACATTGTTTGGAAACCAAAACTATTGAAATATGTTGCAATTGGAGAGAGAAATTGATGATGTGTAATCTGCTTCAACAGGAAGAACTTTTTCCATTGTCAGGTCTATTTCAAAATTGCTGCTTCTGATCTGCTCAAATTTGTGCCCTAACTGATTAAGCAAATAGAAGCAGCATTGTAAAATGCATCTTGTTGCCCTTCAGTATGGAAGGAGTGCCTCACACTTCCACAAGAGCAGGAAAAAAAATCCCCTTACTACAGCCTTTTGATTAGTGCACTCACAAACAGCAAAAATGCTATATTTTTATCTATTTCTGCATTAGACACACTTTATGGCAAGGACCTACCCTCATGAAATATCAGTCCCTTAAATGTAGAGAAATGCAACAGCAATGGACTATTTGTGGGACAGATGAATACTGTTCAGATGATATGGAGAAAAAATAACACGAGTTGAACACATGACCATGTGGGAGGCTGAATTCTTACACAGAATGATGTGTGAGTTTTTTTTCCTTAACATCAAAAATCCTGGTAGACTGTAGAGATCCATTTGTTTCTGTAGGCTGTGCCCCCTGAGAGAACAACATCAGAAAAACCCTATAAGGAAAAGGTTTTCAATTTTCAGTTTCCTTCATATGTGACTGCAGCTGAGAAGGCAACCTAGCCTAGTGGTTAGGGATTAGCAAAAACAGGAGCCATAAAGAGCCAAAATGAGTGATGAATGCTGGGGTAAGTACTTAGAATACTAATCTGAATATTGCCCTCAACTGAATATTTTTCCTTATTTAGCAAGCCTTGCGACTTATGGATGAAGTAAAGGCAAGACTGGAAGAAGAGGAAAGACAATGTCAAGTATCCTTGAAAAATCTATGGGATGAATGTGAATCTTGTTTAGAAAGTACCTGCATGAGATATTACACAACTTGCAAACACGGTGTGTCAACCTTTAAGAGAAAGGTAGGAAGAAACTTTTCGTCTGGAGAACACTGTTGAGTTCACCCAAATAGACAGCACATCTTATTTTCTCAATACCTAGGTCTGCCAGTTATATCAGATTACTAAAATTAATTTGATTTGGAAGGTCTGGAAATATGAAGTTATATGGTAGAGATTACATGTGATTATGGTCATGGAATGCTGAGCCAAAATGAGTTCAGTTGCACCCTGGCAAGATTCCATGGAAACTGATGACTCTCCTAACTCCAACAGATTAATTCCAGATATAAAATGTTTTCTGTTATAGTGGGACTTGCATAAAGGTGCTCTATAACTGTTTGTGAAGAATACCACATAGATTGTTTATGGTCTGTGTGAAAACCAGCAAAGTTAAAAGTGTAGATGTAGTTAGCAAAATTACACAGGGGCAGAAATCACCTACTTATTACACCATTCCTTCCTACATTTATCTTAAATAAACTCTTTAAGTAACAAACAAAACTTTAAAATGCTTAATCTCTTATAATTAAGGAACCTGTCAGCAAAGGAGATCCCCCTAACTCTACTAGAAAGAAAATATGGTTTCCTGACTGGCCCATTATTACTACAAAATTTAACAATTGTAATCACATTTCTTTGTTTGGCCATATGCTTTAAGCACAACAAACTTCTGAAGCAAAACTGTAATTGCTGCTACTAAAATGTTAGCCACATTCCCTAGCTTTCACCCCTCCCATGTACTAAAAAATACAAAAACATTAAACGTGGTGTTTCAGACCACGTGGTGTTTTAGAGCACAGGTGTTTAATATTTGTGCATATTCTTAAAATAATTCAGGTTAAAATGTGGGAGATATTAAATTTAAAACTATTTGTGATACTTTTAGCTTTTTCAGTATCACTAATGGGTAGCTCATATAAATGTTTTGGATTTTCAAGAGTCTGCAGGTGCTGCAATTACTGCAGTAAAGTTATATATATTGCATTGTCCCTGTCTTTGGCCCTTTTGGTAATGTCCCCCATCAGTTATTTGGTTTACTTGAAGCATACAAAGTAAGCTGTGTTATGACCTAAGTTATTTAAAAAAAAAAAAAAAAAAAGAAAAAAAAAGAAAATAAAATAAGACAAAAATGATAGCTGTAGCTGAGGACACACAGACAGCAGGAGCAATACTTGCTTAGGCTGTTCCTGCAGTTTCACACTTCACCTTCCCTCTAAGCTGCACTAGTGGTCATATCAAGCTGATGAGTCTGGGGTTGTTTTTTTTTTAATTAATATATATATCTTTATGTATATCTGTCTGTATCTATCTATATCTATATATGTGTGTTTTAGCAAGGTGCTTCTTAACCCTTGTCCATTTTCTAATGCCATGGAGTGTGGCTCAAGAAGCCACTCCACTGGCTCAGGACAAAGTAGTGCCTTAGAGTGGGGAGCAGGGAACCAGTGGCCGAGACCCAGGACCTGGAACTCTGTAATAGCAGAATGGACACTTGGCCTCTTACATGATAAAACCATGGACTCAGAGCCACTGCTTTATTGATTTTGCTGGTTTCCATTCACACAAAGACATGAGGATTTGCCCAGGGGTGAGAGAGGGGAGGCTTTTTACAAATCAAGGTGAGAACAATCACCTTCTGCTTGCTACGCCACACATAAGCAGACAGAAATGTATCTCACATCTTTACAACATAAAGTCCAAGCTGCCTGTTGGAAGAAACCCAAATGCTGACAATAACTTTGAGCCCCCACAGATTAAAGGGCAACTGGCAGAATTTTTACTCCAGATCTGATTTGGAACTAATGATTTAAATTGAATGCACGTCTTAAGTTACTTCAGAGAATACACTGTGTTGGCAGCTATTAAGAGGGCATTGTTTCTGTGAGTATTTGAAAGAGAAAAATTAGAGACACTTACCTGAGAGATGAGAAACTGATAACTTGCCTGTCTGCTGATCTGTCTCCTTCTTATACACAGGTTGAAGATTTTTTGAGGAAAATACCTCCACTCATATTTACTTTTCATGAGGAGCAAGGAAGAGACATCCAGTTTAATGAAAAGCCTGAGAAAGAGGATACTCAGCTATTAAAGATGGAAGATTTATTTAGCCAGCTATTATCGGATGTCGGCTCAATATTTGACAGAAGTTTCATTTTTTTCAAGCGCATGCAAAAAGAATTTGACCAGTCTTTTCAGACTTATTTCATGTCTGACCTGGAGTTGAGTGAGTCCCCCAGTATGCCAGCTTTACCTGAGGTCACCACCAGAAGTGAAGGCCCCCAGAGAGGCTGGGGCATGCCCGGCTTCTTACAGACAGTTTTTGATTTCAGCAGGACGGTGTTCGAAGGTGTCAGTGAGGTGATCACCGACGTGTTTGATGAATACAGAGATTACAGAAGAGATGTGCCAGAACAAACCAAAGGCAAGTGTTAGAAGATTGAAATTGCCTGCACTGTCAATGACATCAACCCCCTTGGGATGGCTAAACTACAGCGAATTACTCAGTTTGCAGTATGTGAGTGTGAGATACGTAAGGAAACTCTGGAGACTATGGGTCAAGGATAGCTATCAGTTAAATGAACAAATAGAAGTCACCTAGAAATCTCAGAGAAATGTTGCAGGGGGACTTAGGGGTCCTACACAGCCTGATTTTAATGGCAATTCTCAAAGCATTTGCAGGAGCTCCTCAGGAGCACTTAAATTCAGAGTAGATGCAGGTTTTCATAAGGCTGACCAACAGATTTAATCTCAGCATTTGTCAGGATATGATTTGTATCATCTCTTATTGACACGGTCACCAATTCCAAAAAATTAGGGTAATTCTGTGAGATGTCAAGGCATATCCCTGCCCTTGCCAAATGATGTTAAGTTCAGCTTGACAGCTGCAAGTCCCGTTGGAGGCTAGAGCAGCAATGTAATTTGACAATCAAATACCTAATCAAAGACCAGCCATCAGGTTTTCCAGTGACCAGAAAATTCTGGGCATACCATTGGCGATGACACTCAGTGAAGGGAAAGGACCCTGGCCGACATTTAGAATACAAATAAGCATCATATTTGACTATTACAAACAGGCCAAATACATGCTGGTCCTTGTCTACAGGGAAATCACAGTAAGCAAATGCCACAGCTCTGAGTGGCAGGTGCATAAACATTATGTGATCATCAGGAAATACAAAGTTAAGTGACTTGAACAGTGTTTTTAAAATTTTTCTCTATATCATAAGCCATGTTATCTCAGAAACAGACTTGGGTACTGTGTTCTCATGTAACTGTATGTGATTATGAAACATCTTGACTTCTAAGGGTCAAAAAGATCTTACCAGAACTCACATGTTATTGAAATATTGTGTAATAATATTAGCAATTGTTTGGTTGCATCTGGGGAATACACTCCTAAGTCTTTATAAAGAAATATACTACAGCATGAATTCCTTGAAAGAAAACACTATTTGAATCTTCTCCTGACTTTTACTTTTTAATAATTTATTCATTTTTTTTTTTTTTTTTGGGGGGGGTGGGGGGAGGCAAGTGGAGGGGAAGGGAAGAGAATTTATGCAAAATACTTTGGATTAAAGATAAGAAATTATATTCTAGCACTCAGGCTCGGTAATGAATGCATACTTATAAAGACTCTAAGTTTAACAGCAGTCTAAAAATACTATGACTTCATTCTAGATCCTGACAGAAGTGGCATGTTTTCAAAAATTGTGTCAGGGCGCCAGAGACTTCAGTGCAAGGAGCTCCGGGAGAACTCCTCTGGATGCCCACAGTTTCATGAGAGATGCCAGAAATGTCAAGACAATCTTTTACATGGTAAATAACTATTTTCCTTTTTTTTTTAATTTTTCTTTCTGTAATGCATTGATTACTGGTTATAGATTTTGAGGTTTTAATTTTCTACTGGAATTAACATTTAACATAGTCACTGAGTTTTTACTGTAACCACGGCTACAATAACCATTCCTCATTCCACATGATTCCAATTTAGCTTTCCCCACTGTCTCCACAGAGTGTCAGTATAGCTCAGTTCTTAACATACCGCTGGTGCTCCAGAGACGTCCCACAGCCTATAACAAAATATACAGGTATTTTTTCAGAGCTGCAATCCTGTAGAAAAGCAAGATGTCAGGCGGCAGTCAATCCTGCCTGGGTGAAGCAGTGCTGAGCAGAAAGTGAGGAGAAGCTCAAACTCCTGACAGTCGCTTTTCCTGCTGAGAAGCAGGTGCAACCTCAGGTATCATTCAGCTCCTCGCAATGAAAGCAAGTGCTGAAGAGCCTGTAATTACTTTTCGTTGAACCCTGTCTGCAAATAGAACTGACATGAAGGACAAAAAGGGGACTTCATGTCAGTACAGAAGGAGCGGCAGGGCTCTGTCGGGCTCCATCCATGGGCACCTGAAAAACCTTCAGACTGATCACCTAGAACTGCTGTCTGGACTCTCACTGCAGCATAACATATCTGTCTTTCCAGAGTTATTTAGATCCTGAAATCCAAGGAATATGCTTAAACATAAATGTCTTCAGTATATCTCCAATGTGGCAAAGAAACGTCTCTCCAGTGTGGCAAACATCAATGAACAATGAAACACTTTTAAAAGAATATCTGACCACTTATCTTTTTATCTACACCCATGTATTACACATACTAGTTTGTTAGTGTACCATCACCTTGAAGGTGCCCCTTGATAATCCAGTTTGACAGAAAAGAAATTGAATTTTTACAGAGCAATTGTTGTATTTTTTTTTATTTAAAATCCATATTTTAGTAAAGAAAAAAAACAGCAATCTTCAGTTCTGAATTTGCGGCAGATGGTTCTGGTCTCATATTACTGTCTAGCTATTGTAAGACAAGTATTACGTCTTAACACCCAACAGGAATACAGGTTTTCTTGTATTAACCTCTGCCACAGAATCATATAATAATTTGGGGTTAAAGGGACCTTGGTCTAGATGACCAACCCTCCAGAAATCAGCAGGGATATCTTCATCTAGATTATGTTGCTCAGAGCTCCACACAACCTGACATTAAATGTTTCCAAGGATGGGACATCTACCTGCTCTCTGGGCAACTTGTTTCAGTGTTTCACCACCCTTATCGTAAAAACTTCTTGCTTACATGTAATCTAAATCCACTCTCTTTCAATTCAAAATCATTACCTCTTGTTCCCATCTTTCTTACAGGCAATAAGTGTCCCCAGAGACTTCTCTTCTCCAGGCTGAATAACCCGAGCTCTCTCAGCCCATCCTAATAAATAGGAGAGGTGCTCCCAGCCTCTAACAGTTTTTGTGGCTCTCCTCTGGACTTGCTCCAACAGGTCCATGCCATTCTGTGCTGAGGAGATGCCAGGCATCCACGAGAGTCGCTCGCTCACCCTCCTCTGCTACAGCTGGGCAAAGGAGGAAAAAGAAAAAAATTAATGAAGGCTTCATGAGTGAGATAAGGACTGGGAGAAATATTTAAAGGCCAAAAAAGGCTCAAATTTTGTTGTGAAGTGAAATTTATTACTAACAGAATCAGAGGAGGGTAATGAGAAGTAAAATAAGCCCTTAAAACACCTTCTCTCCCCAGCCCCTCCCTCCTTCCCACCAACAGCGCAGGGCATTGGGGTTTGATCAGTTCATCACCGAGATTTTCCTTCTGCTCTGGGAGGGGAGTCCTTCCCATGTGACGCCCTGGAGTCCCTCCCATGGGAGACAGTTCTCTGTGAACTTCTCCAGCGTGGGTCCACTCTCAGCAGCAGCCATGCTGCACCTGCTGCAATGTGAACTCCCCCCACGGGCAGACAGTCCCCCAAAACTGCTGTGGTGTGGCTCTCTTCCCACGGAGTGCAGTCCTCCAAGGACAGGCTGCTCCAGCCTGGAAGCAGGGGCCTTCTCTCTCCACCGGGTCTTCCATGGATCACAGCCTCCTCCAGGCATCCACCTGCTCCAGCATGGGCACCTCCCCCACGGGCTGTGGGTGGATCTCTGCATCCCCCATGGATCCCCAAACCTGCTGGCCATGATTCTTTTGACGCAACCCAGGATGTGTTTGGCTTTCTGTATTGTGAGCACACATAGCCAATTCATGTCCAGATTTCCATCCACCAGCACCCCCAAGTCTTTCTTGGCAGGGCTGCTCTCAATCTGTTCATCTTCCAGCCTGTGCTGATAGCAGGAGTTGCCAAAGCCAGCTGCAGCACCTTGCACTTGGCCTTGCTGAACCTCATGAGTGTCAACCATTGGATCTTCCAGACATGATGGGAAGCTTCCAGCAGCTTCTCACCATCTTTGTGGCCCTCCTGCTACCTAAAACCAGGCTGTGCCAAACCAATAATGAATCCAGACCTGGATGAAGTACTTCAGGGGTCTTATGAGAGAAGAGTAGGAGGGCAAAATCACCTCCCTCAACCTGCTGGCCATGATTCTTTTGATGCAACCCAGGATGTGTTTGGCTTTCTATACTGTGAGCACACATGGCCAATTCATGTCCAGCTTTTCATCCACCAGCTCCTCCAAGTCCTTCTTGGCAGGACTGCTCTCAATCTGTTAATCTTCCAGCCTGTGTTGATAGCAGGAGTTGCCAAAGCCAGGTGCAGCACCTTGCACTTGGCCTTGCTGAACCTCATGAGGGGTTCACCTGAGTCCACTTCATGAGCCTGTCCAGGTCCCTCTGCATGGCATCCCATCCCCTGGGTGTGTCAACCACACCACTCAGCTTGGTGCCATCTGTGAGACTGCCAAGAGTGCACTCAATCCCCCTGTCCATGCCATTGATGAAGACAATAAAGTGTACTGGACACAATACAGACTCCTAAGGGACACCACTTGTCCACGATGTCTTTCTGGGCATGAAGCCATTGACCGTTACCCTCTGGGTATGACTATCCACACAATTCCTCATCCACCAAACATTCCACCCATCAAATCCGTATCTCTCCAGTTTAGGGAGAAGGATGATGTGGGGCACCGTGTCAATGGCCTTACGGAAATACAGATAAATGACTTCTCCAACCCTTTCCTTCTCCATTCCTTCTCCATGGAATCACTCCATCATAGGAGGCCACTGACTGGTCAGGCAGGACTTGCCCTTGGTGAAGCTCTGCTGGCTGTTCTGAATCACCTCCCTACTTTCCATGTGTCTAAGCAGAGCTTCTTGAGGATCTGTTCCACAATCTTTCCAGGCAGAGAGGTGAGACTGACAGAGTGGTAGTCCTCAGGGTCCTTCTTACAACCATTTTTAAAAAAATCAGTGAAATATTTCCATTTTCCCAGTCACCAGAGACTTCACCTCTCTTCCATGACTTTACAAATATCATGGGAGTGGCTACATCAGCCAGTTCCCTCCGGACTCATCAGGTCCCACAGACTTAGATATGTTCAGGTTCCTCACGTGGACTTAAAACTTCTCTTACAGTGGAAGGAACTTTGCTCCCTCAGCCTCTGCCTTGCAGTCTATATACCTGGGACAGATTCATAATAGAATATGAGCCAATAAAATAACCCATAATCTATAAGAAGACTATATAATCTATAAGAAGACTAAATTGCTATATGTAAAATTTACCAGATCTTATTTAGCATTAACAGAAAATCTATTGCCGTGAAATATTAAATAAACTTTATATTATATGATATAAACTTGCTAAATGACTTCAATATAACAAATGGGATAATGCATTCGTTTAGTCATTGAGCCTAAACTAAATCTACCATAATCAGTAAGAAAAAATTATTCTCCTTTTCTCAGCATTATTTAAAGACCCATCCAAACCATGCCTTCTTGCTAGGCTTTTTTACAGTTTTCATTTCTTCAGACAGAAAAGACGAAGTACAAGACATAACAATGTCTTTTCTAACAGATTGCCCAAATGTTCCTGAGCTGCACATAAAGTTTGATGAAGCCTTTAAGCTGGTTAATCTCTCAGGGGAGCAGTACGAGCAGATTCTCCAGGTGGTTCGGCATCACACGGAGGACACTTCCTACTTGCTGAACAAAATGAAAGAAAGATTTGGGTGGGTGTCTGAGTTATCCAACATGACCATTGGACCAGAAAACATTTTCAACATAGTTAAGGTAAGGGTTGTCTTTTGAAGGGAGCTATTGCTGCCTTTAAACTGCCTTTTGCTCATGTTTACGCTCCTGGAGGCTGTGGATGTTGATACATGTGTAATGTTTGGCTCTACAACATGACTTCCCTACTCATCTTGAATCTGTATGTGCTTGGTAATCCCTCAATGAGCTGAAACTCCTGAGATTAGAAACTATTTTCCTCTAAATCCTTTTAGTCTGATGGATGGCTGACAGGCTAACCTGAATCACTGTCTGATAAGAGTAAATTGACACTAGCAGGTTTGACTGGGCTCAGATTACCTTCACAGATAAACTGCACTGCACCAGTGACTAACACATCCACATTGGATCGATGAATGTCTAACTGTCCGTGTCTGTACTTACATATTCCAAAGTTCAAAGAAGGCAAATGCTATACAGATTTTTGCAATGGAAGCTGCACACGCTTGACAGCATCGGTCAATATGTCAGTAAATACATAATTATTGATTGTGTCTCACACACAAAGACACATCCAAGGTAATTTCAATCCATTTTCCTGGGCAAGGGACAAATCTTATTCTCTCTTCTAACTCAGAAATCCACTCATATATAGCCAATTACTACTATTATTACCAGAACTTTACAGAAAATGATGGCACAAGCCACCAAAAAAAGCACAAAATAGGAACAGGAGACAAGCACACTTTCCCAACTGAGTCTGAGATGAGATATCTTTTCTAGGAAAATAAAGCTACAGAACTAAGTCTGATTTAGAAAAACACACAGGAATGAATAAATTGAATCACACAAATGTATTGAATTTAGTGGGACAGATTAGAAGTTTTCATTAGGAGAACAGAATCTCTTTATAGATGTAGCTCATGATATAAATATTAACATGCAGTTCTTTAATATGGTCTTGGCAGTGCCATGTCAGCTCTTTCCACCACCTACATAAATTCAGACACCCACTGTCTTTTCAGAAGAAAGCAGTTTAAAGAAAGTAGACAAGTCTAAAATATTCCCCTTTAATTTTCCCCTATTAAAGAGAGTGGGAACAGCAGGTATAAACAAAACTGAAAGCACACAGCAGTTTGTGGTGTTTAAAGTACTGATCTCTTGTAGGTGGTACCTGGGGATCCCTCCAGTAAAGATGAAACTGTGGTAGATGTGAACGTTCTGACTTCACCTACTTTCACCATTAAAGTTCCTCCCAACTTAGATCCCAAGAGTCCTGAGTTCATCGAATACATAGCTGGGAGAGCACTCCAATTGTATAAGCAGAATTTTTAAGTGGTAAGTTCATTCTTTCTGCTTTCACAGAAAACGCACTTCTTCATAAGAGGTGTTTACATTGCAATAAACTTTAGTTGGAACAAGATTCACTCATGGTGTATACAAGACTGCCTTCTCAGAAAGGACACATTGAGAAAAACACAAGCGTTATGGAAAACACAAACAATCAATGTTCTAGCCTGCAAAACACAGACACGATGATATTAAATGATTTGACATTATGGAAAACACAAACAAACAATCAATGTTCTAGCCTGCAAAACACAGACACGATGATATTAAATGATTTGACTTAGATAACTGTGAAACCCCCCCCAATCTTTAACTAACAGCTGGGATGAGGTAATGTGATAATAAATATTTCTTCACAAAACAATTGCCTCACAACCACAGTCCAGTGTCTTGGCATCGAAAATCATGTCTTTGTGTTCACTCATCATGAATGGACTGGAATTACCACTATTCATTATGGTTTGGTTTTTTTTTAAATTTTCAATAGTGTTTGAGAGCATGCTCATATTATTTTTAATGATAAAAGAGGGCAAAGTGAGAATCACCACCAGGGCTTGGAAGAGCTGTCTTGCCACAACATTTCTGCATTAGCAGCAGGCTGCTCAGTGTTTATTAAGAGAGGCTGCAGTTCAACTTGCAGGATCATGCACAGAAAGATCCTGCTCATGGGCTTCAACCAGTTTTGTAGAAAGGACACACAAGAAGGCTCTCTCCTTGTTTAAGACATTTCAGGAAGAGGAAGGAAGAACCAGGCAGAGAGGCAGGGAGGACAAATGCTTCATGTTCTCTAATACCACTGGGAATTTTCAGGAAAGATGGAATGGTTTTAGGTGGCATCACACTACTGTGAAACTTGTAAACCACCCTTCCCTGTGTTTCCCATCAAGGAGACTCTGGAACACACAGCTTTAGTGACCTCTGACTCTCAGAGTTGTCTCTCCCAGAGGAAATAGAGCCACAAGACACTTGAAACTTCCAGGCAAATCACTGCAGCATCCCCAAATCTTCTCAGAAGGACCAGATTTGGACATAGTTCTCTTTAGATCATAGCTGATTTCCTCAACTAAGCAATTGAAGCATGACCTGCACACAAAGAAGTCTCAGGAGTCAGGGAAAAAGCAGTCAACGTTAACAAAGTAGATTAAGAAAATTTCAGCATTTTGTATTATATCTGTTTATTCTTTTGAGTCAGAGGCATACTATTTCAGCCGATGAAAGAAATCACTCCCACCAGAGAGACTGAGGTGGGTTGCAGAATCTAGACATAATGAAATAAACCATGTACTTTGCTTAGGTAAATGTTGGCAAAATTACATGCTGATATTTATAGATAGATGAAATAAAATGCTCCAACACTTTCTCTACAAATTTTCTTCAAAATTCTCTGTAATCTATATGCAGTTACAAATATAAATGATAAATACTCTTTCAGATTATAGAATACTAATCTTCAGGGCCTAATGAGGCAATAATTATTTCTGTAATTTGATGATAATTTTTAGCCTGAATCTTAGTCTGATTTTCCTGTGGGTATATCTTGTGTAGCCATTTAATACCTGGGAAAAGTAAGCAGTGTTAATTTCAAAATCACACCACCATTCAAGTTTGCACAAGGCTTAGAGTACACGGAAATGTAATAGATAAAAAAGAGTTAAAACTTTACAAGAAAACTGGACAGACCTATAAGAACAGAAAGAGAGAGAAAAAGAAAAGTTTCTGTCTGATTTTTATGTTATACATGTTTCTATAGCAAGACACTGGTACATTCCACATATACTTACTTTTCTAACATATTTTTCTCCATTCAAAATGAAAATGTATAATCTTTCTTCTTTTTTTTCCTCCTAGGGAAGAAGAAGTGTGAATTCTTTCTTCCTGAAATAAAGTATATGCTCCTTAGTTGAACTACCCCTATGCTCAACATAGCTAACTGTTAAATTTCCATGGTTAAAATAGCTGCATATAAATAAAATGTTGCTTAGTAAATACTGTGACATATAAGCTATCAACCAAAGACTGTAGAAATCTTTTAACTCAAACCCAAAACCAAATCCATTTAAATATTAGTATATTTAAATAAAATGTTATTTATGTTGTCAGTAAGTAATCTTTGATAACAAGCTATAGCTCTGGTTATGCAAAGATTTAAGGACATAATCAGCTGTAAGCATAAAAGTAATTTCTATTTGCATACTTACATTCAAGCACATTCTCAAGCCTTTTCAAGACTGATCCCTACAGATGTTGCACATTCAGCTAAGTCTGAATGAACCAGATTTCCATCTGCATGTAGCATATTATTTTGCAATGAAAATATTCAATTTTTCTTCCAGTTGCTTTTGAAGCTTATTGTGTACATTAAATGACTTATCTGAATATGCAGTAATGAGTAAGTCTTCTGCCTTTGGCATTTCTTACAAACAGTTGTCTGCCTCTAGACTTTATTTCTTAATTAATTAAAAGCCTTTATCAGCAAAGAAGCTTGTTTCTCCCTTAATTATACATATCAGCTTTCAATTGTATTTGTAAATTATAATAAAGGTTAAGGAAACTGACATATCTCTCAGTTAGAAGCAGAGCTCTAAGTGATTTGGTATCATTTGCCATGCAAAGCTTTTCTAAGCATTTTTTGCACACAGGTATATGCACCATTTCCATCTGTAGCTCTGCTGAATGAAGCATGCTAATTTCAAAGTGTACAAAAACATCTATATCAGATGTGAGCACTGAAAAGTACCCAAAATATTCATTCTACTCACACTTCATGTTTTCCTTTATTTCTATACACACACATTAAGTATACAAATTTATATGAGTAAAAAGCTATTCACTCTTTTAATTAGGGGAAAAGATGATTTTCTGCCTGCTACAAAGAAAGGTAGCATTTTCTAATCCACAGTCCTCTGTGCTCCTTAATTTCCATCACATATACCTGTATTTCAGGCCCCTAATCATGAGAGATTATCAGTCATAACTCCTGTAAACACCTCACTTGTCAGAAAGCTGGGCTTTATCTTAGAGATAAGTGACTCTTACAAAATTCTTGACTTCCAAGAGATACTAACAAAGAAATATTCAGAGAAGAAATATTCAGTTTTTTCTGACTAGCAGAGATTATCCTAGAAAATGTTCAGAGGACACCATGTTGGGAACAATTGCAGTCAGACACTGGTCGGGATGCAAAATGACACAGGGACATGGGAGAAGCCGAGATCAACATGAAGAGACCCAATAAACCCTTAGTGAGCAGCAAATGTGCCAATAAAATATGAAACAGGAAGCTGACGACACGGCATGGCATGAAAGGGACCTGGCTTTGGCAGCTCAGGTCAGGGTGGCACTGGAAGGAAGGCACTGGACATGGAAGGTGAGCTGTGCAGGGCCACTGCAGCAGGGCAGCCAAGGGAGGCTGGCATAGGGCTTTGGCCCTTTGGGATATCCCGCCTGGGAGGATCTAGTGAGAGATGCGTGCAGCCTGCCACGCCCAGATGAAGGCTTGCTCAGCTCCGAAAAGGCACGCCTGAGGCTGCAGAGAGAGGCAGAAAGATGACAAATGTCCACAGCACGCTCCAGCACGGGACAAACCTGGAGAGTGCTTATGGTGCCCCTAGAGCAGAATGAAGTCACAGAATCACACGGGCAATTAAGCACGAAAAGAGCTGAGTTCCTCTGAGCGCATTGGGTGCAGCCTTGGACGGAACACCACCATGGCACAACACGCCACCACGTCTTTCCTCAAACACCTCCAGGGACGGTGGCTCCACCGTCCTGGGCAGCCCATTCCGATATGTGATGAGCCTTTCTGTGAAGAAACTCTTCCTAATATCCAGCCCAAACGAGCCGCTATTGTTCGGGGCACTGGCTCGGGCCAGCCTTCCCTCAGGGGGAACAGCTCCGTGCGGGACCACAGCCGAGGGCGCCCGGGACCTGGAACAGGAAGGGGACGGGGACAGAGGAGGGGGATAGGGAAGGGGCCGGGCGAGGGAGGAGGTGGCGGTGGTGCCGCTCCGCCCCGCCCGCCCCTCGGCGCGGTTTGGCGGGAAAGCGGGGCTTTGGCGGGAACTGCGGGCTTTGGCGGGCTCGGGAGAGGCGCGCAGCCGGAGCGCAGCGCAGCCGGAGCCCCGCGCCGCCATGCCCGCCGACGGGCAGCTGCTGAGCGGCCCCGCCGCCTGCCCGGAGCCCGGCGAGCAGCAGTACCTGCAGCAGGTGCGGCACGTCCTGCAGCACGGCCACCGGCGGCAGGATCGCACCGGCACCGGCACCATCTCCGTGTTCGGCATGCAGGCGCGGTACAGCCTCAGAGGTGGGCAGCGCCGGCACCCCCGGCCCCTGAGCTTCCTCCCTGTCCCTGCTCCCTGTCCCTGCTCCTGCCCTCTCCCTGAGCCGGGCTGAGTGTGGCGGTCTCACACGCCGGGGCTGTCCCGCTCCCTCCCACCCGAGGGATCCGACCATGCGAGCTACACTCCTCTCGTAACTCCTTATTTCATATCCCAGCCTCACAAAGTCGGGTGGTGGCATTGCCCTTTGTGTGGGAAAAGCCGAAGTCTGCTCACCCTGGCGATGGCTGGGCCCCGCTCACCCTCTGGAACTCTTTTCCAGATCAGTTTCCACTGCTGACAACGAAGAGGGTGTTCTGGAAGGGAGTGCTGGAGGAGCTGCTGTGGTTCATCAAGGTTCGGTATTGGGGTGTCCCTGAGGGTGGCAGGCCCGAAAGCGGCACAAACACAACCAGCTGCTGGGCAGTGGATTGAGGCATTTGGGTAACTGCAGATGCTTCTGTTCCTGTTAGAGAAGTGCAGCCTCCTAATAATGTGACCACACATGGAAGGCCATCGTCTCCAAGATATTCTGCATTTTAATGCAGACTTTTGCTAACAGTGCAATCAGAACAGTTTCTCTTCTATTTCTTCTTAAGGGAGAAAATTTGAAATAGTGAGGTCTTGGACTAATTTGAAGATACTCCACAGCTATAAAGCCTAATGCAGTCTCTTTGTGTTTAATCAGAAATAATAATATAAGGCAGATAATAGGCAATTTAATGATCTGCTTTTTAATATTGAGGTAGCTTGATTTGAACAGAGACAAGCAGCGTGGAACCATGGGTGATGTAAGACTGATGTAAATACTAGACTTTTTAGTAGCAAAGAAATGAGATCTAATAGCTGCACCTAGTAATAAAATTCAACTATAGTTAGTTCATTACAATGTAAGTGTTCCCTTCTATGTTGTGATGTTGTGCAAGTGTGGGAGAATCTACATAAGCATTTGCTCGATACCAGGACTCAAATACTAATTGAATTTTTAAAAGCTTTTGGTTTTGTTTGATGTTTTTGTTTGGTTTGGTTTTTTGGTGGTTTTTTTTTTTTTTGTTTTTTTGGGGGTTTTTTTTTATTATTTATTTATTGATTTTTTTTAATGTAAAAGACTAGACACTCCCTAAACCAGCATACTTTCTGTGTTGGATTTTTGAGTGTGCTCATTTGGACATGCAGGATTCAGTGACATTTTTCTGGGTTATTTTCTCATTTTTGTCACTTTAACAAAAGGATTTTTAAGACTTTAAGCTTATTATAGGTAGCTTGGAAAAGACCGTGCCTAGCCCATAGATTTTTTGTTAGTCTATTTTCATCAATCTGTAAAGTAACATCTTGTTCCCTGCAAATATGAAATGACATTCCACAGTTGACCTTGAGGCTGTTTGTGCATTCACAAAGTGTGAGAATCCTGAGTTAAACAACAGCAGTGTTTAACTCAGCAACTTCAAACTCCATCCCAGTGTGTTGCTCACAAGTTTTGTTTGTCCATGTGCAAGAACCTCATGGAGTACATTAATTAAATTCCCCTTTATTAGTGGGGAAATACTGTGGACTAGCAAACTTAATACAAGTGTTTTAAATGATGCCCTCTGTGTTGGAACTAGGATGCAAACTTCTCACTGTGTTTTGTAGGGTTCCACAAATGCCAAAGAACTCTCTGCAAAAGGTGTGAAGATTTGGGATGCTAATGGGTCGCGTGAGTTCCTGGATAAGCAGGGTTTCAGCACCAGAGAGGAGGGTGATTTGGGACCAGTGTATGGTTTCCAGTGGAGGCATTTTGGAGCAGAATACAAAGATATGCACACAGGTAATGACATCCAAATACAGTCTTGAGTGCTCAGTGAGACAGCTGGGACACATCACTTCCAGAAGCCTGTGTAGAATGGAATGTTCTTAAACATTCACAGCAAGCTGATAGCCAGAATAAAAGTGTTTGAGAGAGTTAATTTAACTTCTTTTTTTCCTTACTCAGTCTTAATGATCCTGAAAGATGTAGCTTTGTATACTAAAGTTTGGTATTTGTGGAACAGATGAGTCACAAGGCACACACTATTTTACCTAGAGCAGATGTGGTTGCTCATGGCTGGAAGGATGTGTGTGCTGCAGTCCAGAAACCTGAGCTAGCTCCATTTGATAACAGAACACAGGCTGCCATCTCTGTATACCAGTGCAGAGTCCATGAAATTGTTGTGCTGGAGAGAACTGGCATCAGTACACTACATTCACTGCAGGCAGTGAAGAGAAAAATGTTTCCATTCTGCATCTGGAACAAGGTAGGGTGTTTCCACAGCTGATGATGCTGTGGACAGAACAGCTGTGACAAGTTGTGATGTGATGCAGAACCTGTTGGTATTTTCAGTGGAACTGGTTTATTAAACTGACTCTCAAATGTATTAATTCCTCTTTTCCAAGTCACTGAAGGAGAGGTTATAGAAAATGCTTAGAGGACTGCCATTAAGAAAAAGGTGTCAAAAACCAGATTGTCACTATCTGGTGTGATTTTTTTTTACTTGGATTAACAACATGGTTAGTTATCTAGGTGAGGTTTCTTGTTTGGTTTTTTTTTTTGTTTTCAGTACAGCCTCAAATTGCAGCTCACTTTATTTACTGATATTAGACT